GACTCAGGTACTCTATCTGGATCCTTTAACATCGCCGAAGAGTTTGGCCCCGCCTGGTTTAAATACTCTTCCGACAGAAACTTTTCAGCAGAATACCTACTAGAAAAAAATCTGTATCTATCAGAACCTTATCTCCCAGATTCACTATTAACATTCGCTACTTGCTTAGATTCCAATTTCACCCTTTTGGAATTAGAAACCTCAATAGCAAGCGTAAAAGGAAAAAGTCCTGGGGCCGATAGGGTGTCATACCCTATGCTCAAAAACTTACCACACCTTCTGAAGGCCAAACCTTTGGAAATCTTTAATGTAACGCTACAATCCGGAAAATACCCACATACATGGAGCTTAGCCACCATTATCCCTATTCCAAAGCCTAACAAACCCCCTTCTGATATTAACAGCTACCGTCCTATTTCCCCTTTGTTCTGTCTAGGTAAAACACTTGAAAAATAATTGCCCAGAGACTTCTCTGATTTATTAACCACCACAATCTCATCTCACATAATCAGGTTGATTTTAAAAGAAAACATAGCACTGTGGACGCTTTGCTGCGTCTTCAACACTTCGCGTCGAACGATCTTTCTACCAAAAGTCACGTATCTATCCTGGCGACTGATTTTGAAAGAGCCTTCGATCGCGTGGGGATTCATTCACTTTGTAGATTCGAGCGCGGGGGCATTGATCTAAGGCTTTACAACCTTGTCAAGGCCTTCATGACCAATCGCTCTTTCAGGGTTCGAATAAACAATGTCACCTCGAACTCCCACATCTTGCACAACGGAATTCCTCAGGGTTCTCCACTTTCCGTAGTCTTATTCATGATAGCTTTTGAAGAAATTAACAGCATTTTGTCGTGAAATAAAGATATCCATATATCAGTATATGCAGACGACGCTATCATTTTCACAAATATAAAAAATGTCAACACTGTTAAAAAAAAAATTGTTGCCAATTAAATCGCACCTAAAAAGAATTCAAGCGCCCTACCACTGGGCAGTGCGCCGCGCCATTCATGCATTCTCCACCTCTCCAATACCATGCACATTGGCAGAGTCCGGTCTTCCGAGTTTTCATTCCCGCATAGAACAAACTACGATGATACTCGTCCCAAAGCTATACACCTCATCAAACCGCCTACTCACTAAGGACTTCGCAACCATTTTCAAGCAAAACCCGAATTACAAATGTATATCCACACTTAGACGTTGCGCCAGCTACATCAAAAAGCTCGACCTACCTCTACCCAACCCCATGAAGTCTTTTAAATCGCCAGCATTTTGGGGATCCAAAAAGCCCAACATAAACACTCAAATCTACAAAGGTGCTAAACAAGATACATGTCCTCAAGAATTCCAAAAACGGTTTTTGAGCGTACAATCAGATCTGGGCACAAAACCTGGATTTTCACCGGTGGTTCTTGAGCCAGCGACTCGACCACCTTTGCTGTGGTTGACTGCAACCGAAACATTATTGCAGGAGGAAGGCTTCCGCCCGCCATATTAAAAGCATACCATTTCGCCTCTAAGAACCCTGGACAATTTGTTATTTGCACAGACAGCCTCTCATCTATACCCGCCCTACGCAACGTAAAACACAACGATCCCACAATACAGGAAGTAAGCCACATTCCAAGTTCACATCCAACAAAAATCACCACACTTTGGGTTCCCAGTCACCAAGAAATCAGTGGAAACGAACTAGCCAACAAGGCCGCCCAAGAAATAAGAAACGCACCTTCCTTTCTCTTCACCCCGTTTAATGCCAAGGACATACAAAACCAAATTAGGCTACACCTTGAAGAAAATAAAATCTCCGAATGGGCACTCATTGTGCACAGATATCAAACATTAAACCCAGCTTGTAACAAGTTCAACCCTTCGCCCAATACCGGAAGAAGGTCTTGCGGGACACTCAATCCACTCACCAACATACTGATGGGAACGTCGTGGACAACATGCCAACTCTGCGGTAATGATCTTACCGTGGATCACCTCCTGGACACCTGCAGCAGATTACAGAGCATTAGATTTGCCCTATTTGGCACACAGCGAGTATCAGCCCTATTAAAAACCCCCTCCCAAGAGAATATAATAAACATTAACAAATTTGTCAAACAAGCTAAATTAATCTTATAACACACGTTTCGAGTCGAAGGCCCCGTTAGCTATGAAACTGTTTAGATTTAGTATTGTATACTTGATTTAATTTTGTTAAAATAAAATAATCTTGAAATCCTGTTCCTTTTTGCAGGCAGTGGGGGTAAATAGTTTCTGAGCGTTGAATGGGGTGGGCTTCTGAATAGCGTCAATATCAGGCCTCTTATGCGCTGTGTGATTTCTGTGGCACCCCGATTATAATATTTTTGAACAAAAAAACAAGAGAGAACGCTATAGTCGGGTTGGTGTCCCGGCTATCTAATACCCGTCACTCGCCTAAAGGAAGTGCGAGGGAGATGGATATATAAAGCTTTTTTGATTGCGTATAACTTTTTAATGAATGGTCCGATTTAAAAAATGTCTTCTACATTTTGATAGGTATAAGTATATACAACAAAATTGCATTTTAACTTCTGGGAAATCTTTAAAGGTGTGGGCGCCAGACACAAAAATCTTTAGTGGGCGATTGTGGGCGTTAGAGGGGGCGTGGCACCTTTTTAAAATAAAAATGCGCTGCGTAGGAAGCCCAAGAATATGTGTGGGAAATCTCAACCTTCTAGCTTTTGTAGTTTCCGAGATCTCAGCGTTCATACAGACGGACAGACGGACAGACGGACGGACGGACAGACGGACATGGCTAGATCGACTCGGCTAGTGATCCTGATCAATAATATATATACAATTATACATTACAATTATCTTAATGACTATAATCATAATATTTATTGATGGTTTTTATTTATTTTTCTCAAAAGCAAAAGTAAGATGTGCCACACGGCTTTTGAATAAGATTCTGTGCCAATTTGATTTTAAAGCTACAACCAGGATATTCATAAATATTGAACAAATAATACACATTATATTAAGAATGAAAGTGGGATTCAAACAAATTATAGAGTATAGCCACGGTAAGACGATAAAAATATTTGATCAAATTTATCAAGGGTTGCCATTAACTTACATAGAAAACAATTTTTTTTTTTACATTTTAAAACATAAAATAATTTGATCGTCAGATCATGGCCTAAGACATTTTTAAGTGTTGTTCATAACTAAAAATTCGTGTTGGTAGTATTTATAATACTTTACATTTATTTATTTATTTACATTTCAGTCCCTAAAAAATATTATTATTTTTTTTTGTTTGCTTTGATTTTAACAACGAATGTTGAAAGTGATGGTTGGTCGCACGACTATGACCAGATACTATGTTTTGTTTGTCTGTGTTTTAAAAACTTAACCTAAAAGTGAATCCACACCACGAGGTCCCTTACTTACCCGGCGTGAACTATGCGTGTTTCTTTAAAAACACTGTAGACAATAAAAAACATATTATTTAAACGAAATATTTATTCGCGGACAAAGTATGATCTTAAGTTACAACGAAATGACCAATTATTACACCAGCTTACAAAAAAAATCGATGAAATATACCATAAAGGAAATTTTTGTTTTCCGGTAAGGTACGCCTTTCTGATTAAGAAAAGGGTACTTAAATTTTTTCTTATGAAGCCAATTTTTTTTAAGTGTAAAAAACGTTTTTGACACTTTTTTAATTTGGCTCCATAAAAAAATGTAAGTACCCTTTCCTTAATCAAAAAGACGTTCCTTCAAAAAAAAGGTTTCCTTCATGGTATATTTCATCGATTTTTTGTTGTAAACTGCTGTTATCTTTCTTTGGAATGCTGGTATTTTCAAAAATATGATGCACGGTCACATCAGTATAGTATTTCGTGCAAAAAGTTGAAAATGAAAATAGGCAATGGTGTGCGGTGTTCATTAAATGTATAAATAATACTTCAATACTAACTTATATAATATTCTATTGATTATAATTATACCCGTTACTCGTAGAGTAAAAGGGTATACTAGATTCGTGCAAAAGTATGTAACAGCTAAAAGGAAGCGTTTCCGACCCCATAAAGTATATATATTCTTGATCAGGATCGCTAGCCGAGTCGATCTAGCCATGTCCGTCTGTCCGTCTGTCTGTCCGTCTGTCTGTCTGTCTGTCTGTCTGTCCGTATGAACGCTGAGATCTCGGAAACTATAAAAGCTAGAAGATTGGCATTTTGCACGCAGATTCTAGGAGCTCCTACGCAGCGCAAGTTTGTTTCAAAAAGGTGCCACGCCCCCTCTAACGCCCACAAGCCCCCTCTAACGCCCACAGTTTTGAAGCTATTATGAAAATAGTAACTGATATGTATTCGCTTCGTCAATACCTATCGATTGGCCAAGTAAAAAATTGCCACGCCCACTCTAACGCCCACAAACCCAATAAACGCCTTAACCTGGCCAGCGCCTACATTTCCGCCTTTCATGCCCAATAGTACCAATATCTGGCGGTAGATGAAGCAACACAATATACACTAGCGCCATCTAGGAAATGGCATTGGAAAAAATCTGCCTTTTTTTCTGTGGTCACTCTAATTCACATTATGTTAATGCAAATTTTAAATTATTTGAAATGCGGCGCGCATTTTGTCTCTTTTTCTCGTATACGTTTTTCACAAGTGCATTCACCTGCGCTAGAAAGAGACGGAAGATGTGCTAGGCAGAATTGAAAGTTCTAGAAAGCGTCTTCTAGAAAGAGATCCCTGGGTAAAAATCGAGCGGCGAAAAACATATAAGAAGGCATATTTCTATTAAGTTGTTTAGCTGAGTAATGGGTATCTAATAGTCGAGGCACTCGACTATAGCGTTCTCTCTTGTTTTACTATTAGACTAATTGGATAACAAGTTCGATTAAACTCTGACTTTCGGAACAGGGGTAGCCCACTTGGGTGATTTTGACTCTATTGTTAATGCAAATTTTAATGATTAAGTTACTCGAAAACTTACCCAACTTTCTCAGATAAACGAAAATTTTCTTCGCATGTTGTTTTAGACTTGGTTCCAATTTTTATGTCAGTAGAATCAACCATGGTTGGTGCGTTAAACTGCTCTGAAACGGGTTCGAGAACACAATTAAACGTGTCCTCCCAGTATTCAGCAAACCAGGGATTCCTTTGATTTGTCTCTGGCGTCAGCTGCATCATATAGCGATCAAAATCTTCGATTATCTCTGACTGCAGTTCTACAGTTATCGCGCCCTCGGCAATATCCTCCAGACCCTCGAGTAGTTTTTGCTGCTTGCCCCAACCGTCACTTGCTATCCAATGAAACGGTTGTGACAAATTGGCTCGCTTAGCTGCCTGAAGAATTCGCCGCGCATCCTCGGCTCTTGTAAAAAGTACAACTCCGCGAGCGTTGGGTTTCTTTTGAAGTTTGTTAATTATTGAGTCAAAAACTTTGTCGTCTGCGGCACTTGGCACTTTCTCGGCTACCGCTATGCATACATGTCGTTCGGTGGCTTCCTTGTGAAAGGCTTCAATCCCATATTCACCTGGGAATTTATTAAAATAGGGATAACGGTTATTTGATATGGTATGGTATAATTTTATACATAAACAAGAAAGAACGCTATAGTCGGGTTGGTGTCCCGACTATCTAATACCCGTCACTCGGCTAAAGGGAGTGCGAGGGAGATGGATATATAACATTTTTTTGATTGCGCATAACTTTTTAATGAATGATCCATTTGAAAAATGTCTTCTACATTTTAATAAGTGTGGGCGCCAGACACATTTTAAAATCGTTAGTGGCGATTGTGGGCGTTAGAGGGGGCGTGGCGCTCGGATGAAATAAACTTGCGTTGCGTATGCAGCCCAAGAGTATGTGTGGGAAATGTCAACCTTGTAGCTTTTGTAGTTTCCAAGATCTCAGCGTTCCTACAGACAGACAGACGGACATGGCTATATCGACTCGGCTATCAAGAATATATATACTTTATAGGGTCGGAAACGCACGAATACAATTTACCCTTTTACTCTACGAGTAACGGGTATAAAAATCAAAAAAGAACAAAACGGTTTTCTGAAGCAAAATAATAGTTAAACAACATTAATACCTACTCCCATTTCACACCCCAAAAAACTCACCGTATGATCCTTCCGAATGTATGGTCGACACATAGGACCAGTTAAAATTCTTCAGTATATCTACAAGGGCCACGGATTGAAAAGTGTCCGGTGGTACTGTTCTAGCAAACAAGTCAAAGCGTGATTTGTCTGATAGCGTTTTGGCAGTTGACGCCGGTGATATTTGGGGAATATGAAAGAGACGCAGCAAATTGGCCACTTGCAGAGACACTGAACTATAGGATCCACCGATGACTCCAAAAACCGGTCCCGAAGAAGCGTTTTTTCTAATTTGGGGGCTTGACGCATCTGAACATTCGAACACTGAAGTGTCCAAGTTGTTAAGGGATGCTCTTACGAACTGAAGTGACTGGTTCAGGGCATATGTGTCTCTTGAACAGGTGTCAAGTATATGGACACCTATCGTTATACCAGGAAGAATATTGGAGTCGTTGTTTACCCGATCTATAGCGTAAAGCATTGCTTCTAGGCGTTGTACTCCTCTGTTATATACTTTTGGTCCGCATGGAGCACCCTCACCCTTTTCATGGACGGGAAATAACCCACCAAGTATTATGTCGCCGGGCAGAGACACAGACACTGTATCCTGAGTATGTGCATAACTGGGGCTTTTTAAGTTGGTTCCAGGACTCCAGGTCAGCACCATTAAGACGACTAGAATTGTTGTTGTATCTCTTTTAAGTTCCATCTTTACACAGACACTTCCAGTTTTTTATTTAAATTTTTTAAAACCATAAAACCTAATGCCAGCACATTTTTTAAAGTGAGGCCTAAAATTAGAACATATAGAAACCGATTAGAATTTGTATAATAATATATATATTCTTACAAAGTATTACACTAAACCAAAAATATTAAATATTCATACTTTAACATCCAATCTAACATTAATTCTAAGTTTTATACTTTTTTAGTGTATTGGAACATACCTACAACATTTTTATACCCTTGCAGAGGCAGTGAAGGAGACGTTTCCGACCCCATAAAGTATATATATTCTTGGTCAGCACCACTAGACGAGTCGATCTAGCCATGTCCGTCCGTCTGTTTCTACGCAAACTAGTCTCTCAGTTTTTGAGCTATCGGGATGAAACTTTCCCAAAAGTCTTATTTCTATTGCAGGTAGTATATAAGTCGGAACCGACCGGATAGGACAACTATATCTTATAGCTCCCATAGGAAGGAAACGTTAAAAAAATTCTATCTTCGGTGTTTTTTAAAATATAAAAAATCTATATCAATATTTGTCTTGATTAAAAAACGGTCAGTAGCAAATTCCACCCAGAACGGATTGACCTAAAAATCTAGAAAAATCACAGTAATTACTAAAATAATTAGGAGCCGCGTAAGGGGTACTTTTTATAACAAAAAACTACCCCAAAGTGCCCCAAAATTCGATTTGTTTTTTTTTTAATTCTTTCTTTTGCCATTTCTCTGTTATAAATGTTGTTAAAATGGTTTAAAAATGTGATGTTCATAATCTTATGGCATACCCGCAAATAACTGCATTTAAATTTCTTGGAGATTCAGCATCCTTAACCAAGTCCCCAATATTTTTAAATTTGGCTAACCTGACGTGACGTCACACGTCCCCATATGTTTGTATGTATGTTCTGCTGGCGCATGTATGTATGTACATATGTATGTCCTGCTGTCGCAATTTAAGTGTGACCGCGCAAGGGGAAAATGAAAATACCACAGCCAAAACAAATCGATTATATCGCAAATCTTTTCTTTTGCGCCTTTTTCTTAAGTTAACGTTCAATTTCAAAATATCGGTAGACCTTACAGAAATCCCATTAAGCTGAATTTTACAGTCGAAATTTTCCTTAAAATTGCTTCGGTTTTTTTAAATGCAAAAGACCGATCAGCAAACTATTTATTAGTTTTCAAATGTTGAGTTATCGACAATCTTTGGATTTGTAAAAAACAAAAAAAAAAAGGATTTGCTCCATTTGCAGCCATTAGATACATATGTATATGCGTGTGTACGTTTGTGTGTGTGCATTGCAGCTGACTAAGGAATTGAGATTCGCTCAAATTCAAATTCAAGATAATACTGATATCCTTTTGCTAAAAGAATATTTCATTTACATTTCCACAACATACTTACATAAGACATTTTGTAACCGATTTTTGTGAACAAAAATTCAAATCGCATTGATAATATTAAAAGAACATTAAATATTCAAACCAATTGATTCTCTTGCTCTTTATTACACGTGCTCATATTGTTTAAACAAATTCAAATGTTTAAACAATTTGATTCACGGCTTCCCCGCCCACCTGCCTTCCCTATTATTAATATAATTCTAATCAAGGTGAAAAATTAATGTGAAAACAAAAATACTGAAACAAAATATCAATGATAAAATGCAGTAATTTGGAATTGCCTTTCTTGATGTCTTTTCTTAAATTAGTCAAATACATAAAGCAAAACATTGCTCCGCATATTTGTTTCCCTTATAATAGTTGTCTACTGTGGATACCTTCCAAAAACCCCCCGGTAGCAAATTCGCCAAGAGTATTTGGTTTGTAATAGTTTAAATAAATAGTTTAAAAATTGCATCTTTAAAAAACAAAAAATAGAAAATAGAAAATGTAGAACGAGGTAGCAAGGCCAATATCAACAGGATTTGTTTTTAGGGACCGATGAAATAAAAATAAGCCTAAAATTATCCTATCTCTGGCATTCATTTTTTTAAAATAAGAATTGGAGACATTAATTTTTTTTTTAACTGTCGAACGATAAACATCTTATCACATTTTAAAGCGGTTGTAACATTTCAAGGCGAACTTAAATTAAAAATATTCCCTCAAATTTTTTAAATCTTAATCAAAATTATTATATTGGTTGTTGGCAATTTTAGCAATTTTTTTTAAGAATACAAGTTTTTTTCCAGAGTTAAACGCTAATCGATTTGGAATTGAATTACAAACTTAACGCGGCGTGATAATCCATATTTTGGCAGTTTTTTGCTTTGTTTTCGATAAAGTACTGCTTTGAAATTCATATTTTTGCACTCTTAATTCATACAAAAAAATGCATAAATTTATCTGGGTAAGAGCGGTACAGCAATAGTCAAAACTCTCCGAAATTGAAAAAGAGTTTAATATTTTTAACATGTAAATTTAATCAAATTCGTATCCTATCTATTTTTTTCTTAAAGAAATTGGTTTTCAAATAATGTTTCTAGGCTTTAATGGCAATGGATTGGGAATTTAATTACATGCTAATTATCCAATATGTTTTGGACAAAATACTAATGTTTTGAATGAAATTAGTGTATGGATTTGTATCGAAAAAGGAATCTGTTTGTTTCTGTTTTGTCCATCTGTTAACTTATGCAAACAATCCATAATAATTTTAAAACAGTGTATACTTAGTGTATGGATTTGTATCGAAAAAGGAATCTGTTTGCTTCTGTTTTGTCCATCTGTTAACTTATGCAAACAATCCATAATAATTTTAAAACAGGGACCGAAAATAACTACACTGTGCAGCATTTTTAGTGCTTTTTAAATTTACCTCGATTGATGCTATATTTTTGGATTCGTTACGAATTCCCAAGTTACACTGCGTTTTCCAAAAAGTTCCCCGACGCAAGGATTCTTAGCAAAAGGACCTCAAAGTTCGAAAAATGCTGAAATTGGCCAACTTTGCGGAGCTCTCAGAGGCAAATGGATGCATGGTTTGATTCGATGTTAAAGTTTTTTAAAATTCTTTATCTTTTAAACCCCATACTTAAAATTTTAAAGATTTTTTTTAAGGCAGAAACAAATTCTAGAATACATAGTCAAAAAACATAAAAGTATACAGCTGCGGTCAAAATGGTAGTAGTGTTGCCGACCTGTGTATTTAAAAGTTTGTTGTTGTAATTGATCTTTTCCTGGTAATATTGTATTGATTATAATTTTACTATTAGACTAATTGGATAAGAAAAAATTACAACATCAAACTTTTAAAAACACAAGGCGGCAACACTGCTACTATTTTTACCGCAGCTGTATGTTTTTCAGTTTTTTGACTATGTTTTTTGGAATTTATTTCTGCCTTAAAAAAAATCCTAAAACTATTTTAAGTATGGGGTTTGAAAGATAAAGGGTGTATCTTTTAAAAAACTTTAACTTCGAACCAAGCCATGCATCCATTTGCCTCTGAGAGCTCCGCAAAGTTGGTCAATTTCAGCATTTTTTGAACTTTGAGGTCCTTTTGCTAAGAATCCTTGCGTCGGGGAACTCTTTGGAAAACGCAGTTTAACTTGGGAATTCGTAACGAATCCAAAAATATAGCATTCATCGAGGTTAATTTTTGATGCTGCATAGTGCTATTATTGTAAATTTTTCTTACAAAAAAATCACGCACTTAGAAGGGTCATAAAATTTTTTTAAATACACCACTATTTTTATTAGCCATTGTAGTTTACAAATCCGTAATGATTTTAATTTTTTGATTTTTATAATTAAACTTAAAAAATAACTGTTATTTGTTGATTTTTATGAATAACAGTTATTCCCTTGACATTTTTGAAAAAATGAAATAATTAAAAAAAACATGCTAACCATGTTTTATATAACTTACTAAAAATTTATTAAAAAAGGCAACCGCGCATATTTTATAACTATATTTTTTTTAAATTTATTTTACCCACAAAATCGCTAAAAATCAAGTTTGAGTTTTATTTTTGATCACGACGAATAACTGTTATTTGTCAACTTTTATTATAAAACTCAAAAATAACAGTTATTCTTTGTTTTTACTTTACAAATCAGAAAATAACTGTTAAAGTGTGATTTTTAAAATAAAACTTATAACAGTTACGATCCCTGTTTTAAAAAGATTTAAAAAAGACACATGTTTTTTAAGTATTTTTCAAAGGACAAAATATTTTTGTTTTTACGGATATCAAGGGAAAAAGTTCTGATAAAATCTTTTCTCGGTTTATAGAATAAAAATGAGGAATTTTTTAAATTTTAAATAAGTACCAAAGATAAAGCAATGCTTAATTTTCAGTTTTAATTTCCGCAGGCGAAGCTGCGGGCTACAGACCCTGCTAGAATAATATAATATTCTACTCTTGGGAATATTATTTTTTATAAATTTTTGAATTTCGAATTAAATATTTAAAAAATCTGATCGCTATATCATATAGCTGCCATAGGAACGGTCGAAAAATTGAATGGAAATTAAAGCAAGGAAATCTAATTATTATTATTTTGACATTATTTGTTCTGTCCTTCCTATGGCAGCTATATAATTAAGTCGTCCGATTTTTGTTAGAATTAATTCAAAATTCGAACATATTAGAAAACAATACAATAAAAGACAAAGGAACTATAATTTATTTGCTATTTTTCTCCCATAAATTTTCCGATCGTTCCTGTGGCAGCTACATGATATATATTTGTCCGATTTTTTTTAATTTATTTCAAAATTCACAAATATATAAAAAACAAGAGAGAACGCTATAGTCGGGTGCCCCGACTATCAGATACCCGTTACTCAGCTAAAGGGAGTGCGAAGGAGATGGAGAAAAACTTTGATCCGCCGTAACTTTTTAACGAACGGTCCGATTTAAAAAATTTCTTCTACATTTCGATAGGTATTGATAAACACAATACAACTGCATTTTTACTTTTCCAAAATATTGAAATTTTTAAAATCGTATATAAGCGATTGTGGGCGTTAGAGGGGGCGTGGCACCCTTTTGAAACAAACTTGCGCTGCGTAGGAACTCCTAGAATCTGCATGCAAAATGTCAATCTTCTA